AGCAAACAAACTAGTTGTTGTTGTTTTTCTTTTCTGTGGCAAAAAAAAATACTGAACAATTATCCACCTAACTAACAATCTCGACGATCTTATGTGGCGGTATTTACTATGCACACAAATAATTAAATGTAATTTTATTTAAATTGTTTGTTGCAAACTACAACAACATACAGGCTTGTTTTCAAAACGACATGATCATGATGATGATGATGATTTTGTCGCTCTCAATTTGTGTTTATGTCTCTCGAGTAGTGCTATTTCAAAGGTCACTGGAGCATTAAAAAAGACCGAACAGAACATTAACATAATTATGTTGATTTCATTTGTTTTTTTTTAAATGGGTTTCTAATCAAAATTTAAATATCTCTGGAAAAACAACAGAAGCTACCACAGACATGTTGTAATTAAAACAAATAATGATGTTTGTAACGAACTGCAAGTGGCAAAAGCACGTGCGTTAATGCTCCACATGGACTGCTAAGGAAGCTCAGTGTCTCATGTGTTCCGTCAATCACAAAGAAATCCATTTATGTCTCTGAGCAAATGAGTGTCTAATGCGTGAAAGAGTTGTCTGAAATGATATATTTGGGGTAGGATTGTTTATTTGGGGGACTATTGTGATACAAGGCCAATTAATTTTGTATTGTGTTGCGTCGCGTCGAATTTCATTATTTATGGTGTTAAATGTCAAGCCTTCTGCTATAATGAATACTTTTTATGGATATAATGAATACAATGTCTGTTTTGCAAACTGAAAACGTGTCTCTGACTTTTGCTAACAAACTGAAACAATATAAATGGGCAATTTCATCCTTTTAAAATGGCCTTCATAAAACATTTTGTGGTTCCCATATTGAAAAACGATAGAAGTTCGTGGAATACCCTGACAATAACATGCAAATTACTCGTAAAAAAATTCTTGCCAATGAAGGGCTATGAAATTTTCTATTTAGGATAAAAAAAAACTGATATTGTTGGGTCCACAATATACAAAATAGGTTTAATGCTTAAATAAACATACTATGGTTAGCTTTTGATGATTATCGGAAGAGAAATTGTGGATTCCATGCAAAAGAATTAATCCGGTAGTGAATCGAAGCAATTTCTAATCGCTGGCTTTTAAAGTCGGGAGATGCCGAGATTTCCTATTTATAGTTGTTTAAATAATTTTTGACTAATCGATCATTGTTACAAGTGAAGCTTATGAAGATTTTCGGATACAGATCCATTGATCGTCTGCTCCTTTTTCAACAGCTCAGTCAATCAAAAACCATTGTGAATATTCGGTTCCGATATTGAATTAGATAATTGTCTTCTATATCTATAAAGGAGGAAAATGTTTGTTTGTAATTTATAGACTCAAAAACTGCTGAACAGATTTTTTTGAAAAATTCCAAATATACTACAGCATCGCCTGAACGTAACATAGGCTATAAACATTTTTGAAATTCCATTTAGGACTGGAGATATAGCATTGATCACTTATAGACACGGTCTTTAAATTTGGAATTTGTAACGGAATTTGGTACAAAAATAAATTTGCCAAATTATACTGAAATAGGTTCGAATTTGGATATAGCTCCCATATATATTTTCGTCCAATTTCGCATATTTCCAAATACGATGTGCATGTCCGATTCCAATGAAATTCGGTATGTATAACTTAATTTGGTGCCAAAACAAATTTCAAAATTAAATTGAAATCGATATAGATATGAATATATCTCCCATATATACCTTGGGCCGATTTTACATATTTGATGCACCACACAAGCTACGTATTCCTGATTTCTATTTGGAATGAGTGATGGAATTTGGTACCTAAATAAATTTGCCAATTATATTGTTGTTTATTAGTGAAGAACGATATTAAAGTCTGGGATATTCTCCCCAGGAGTTATTTTAAAATAACTCCTATGACAAAACACAAATTATATTAAAATCGGTTCAGATTTGAATATAGCTCTCATATATATATTTTCGGCTGATTTCATATGTTTGATGTACAAAACACGATATGTACGTCTGATTCCAATGACATTCGGAACGGGTAACGGATTTTGGAATAAAAATAAAATTTTCAAATTATATTAAAATCGGTTCAGATTTGAATATACTTCCTTATACATTTTCGGACGATTTCAAATATTTTATGCACCAAACACGATATGTATGACCAAAAAACTAAATGGTATAGCGAAGCGCACCGGGTTCACCTAGTGTTATATATTCTTATAATCTCCATCATATATATCCACTCCGCTATAATTGTACCTCCCCATATTTGACATTAATGGATTATATTTCCTGCGGCAGAGCATTGTCCATACAGATACACGTTTTTCCATAGCCCCATATAACGGTACTTTCCGATATTCGGATTATAGCTAAATTTTCTAAGGGAATTACTTAAAATTCGGTATTTTGATTTCGTAAAGGGTTTTACTCGTGTAGCAGATCAATCCATATATAAGTCAACGTTTCTCAATAGCCCTAATCCCTACATTCTAAATGGAGGGGAGTTGAAAAATTCGTCCCGACTGAATTTAACTACTTTTTACTTGTTCTCTCTTAAGTACACAAAGTACTTTATAAGTATGTAAAAAATTAGCATATATGTCCTAGTTTTACTTGTTTTAACTATTTTTGATAAATTTCTAAATATTAACCCAGGGGAAACCTCTGAATAAAATGAGCTTAGTCTTTGTTTCCGCAGAGCAGGTCCAATATTTTATTTCATAGCTTTTGTGAAATAGTTCCCCTTGGTCAGTAATGAAACACAACGGGTTCTCAATGGGTTAATATTTAGAAATTCATCGAAAATAGTCAAAACAGGTAAAACTAGGACATATATTGCTAATTTTATATATTTTTTTAAAATACTTGTTCCTACTAGATAATTTGGAATACCGAATTCTTCGCTGTTAACGAAATTCCTTACAGAAATATGACCACTTAATTTTCAGATATTGATAGATAAATTTAATAATCAACAAATTATTCACTCGATTTTGGTTGTTCTATTTATTTTCAATGTCTCTTGTGAACAAAATTTCACTTGGTCGAACAAAATGCTTTTGTTACTATGGTCCTGAGAGGGTTAAATTAAATTCTTCGCATTATGAAATTTACCGAAAAGGTATTATGAAATGTTTTTAGCATGTTTATGATATGGTGTGTGTTCACTCATATCAGCAAAATGTGTACAAAAATCTTGGTTTGTTTTGGACTTGGACTACAACATGAAAGATTTACCCCCCAGAACATACCTACGAACACCCTCGAGATTTCGACATTTCAAACAATAAGAGGAACACTAATCAGCAGCGGAGTTAATTGTTAGTGGCAGAGGGAGCGGTAGACGATAGACGATAGGTAAAGTAACGTCAGTCAGCCCATTACCTAGTCACCCATACAAAAGCAATTTGTTTTTTTTTTTTCTTTCACTTTGGGTTTGAGTTATTGTTTTTTGTTCTCTACTGTTGCCGTTTCATTTAACTGATAACAGAAAGCGAAAAAAGGCAACAACAACAACAAAACCATCAGATTACAATTTCATTGTTATTATTTTTGTTGTTTATACCTCAACCAACCAACCAATTCTAAGGCAAAAACGGTCTGTCTGCTAGCGAAAAGGCTAGACACTCATTTGTAGGGAAACCTCTCCGTAAAAGCAACGTTTTTTTTATATTAATTTTTATACTCTTTTCGAAGTTATTTCAATTTTACAAAACACCTTGAAACATTTTTGAAACTATCGCAGAAGTATTAAATAACGTGGCGTGTAGTGTAACCAAAGATATTCTACTCCAAATGGCTGTGCTAAGAACTGTATAACAATCAGAAGAAAACTAAATAAAAAGTTAAAAATACTATGTAAATTATGTAAAAAAAACACATAAAATGTAACAAAAAACTCTTCCACAAGAAATGAAGCACAAACTATACCAAAGAAGTATTATTTAATCTAAGGAAAAAAGCAAAAAACCAAAGCAAAAAGAAAAACAAAACAAATTATAAACCAAATATAGAAAATCACCACAAAAACAAAACAACAACAACAATTTACCTCAACTTCTCTCATTGCACTTTGGGAAACGTTAACCCCAAACAGTTTTGTTATAAAAAAAAAACGATCCCAAAATATTTCACAATAAAACCAAAAGCAAAGCATCAACTTTTTTATGAACCGTGGATTTTGCTTTGCCACAAATAAGCCGACAAAAAAAAAACAAAACACAATTGCATTCACACAACCAAGCAAACAGCAGCCCACCCACCCACTCACTCACCTCTCTTCTTCTTGCTTCATCACTTGAGACGACTGTTAAATCCACCAAATGAAAGATATTGATGTGAACGCTTCCATAACTGCAGACAGCATCTCCGTCGACACAAGTGCTACCAGCCTCAGTTCCAATACAAACAACAGCAACAACAATAATAATAATTGTATCAAAAACAACAACAACAATAGCCATAACACAAAACCAGCAGCAGCAACAGCTAATGCAACAACAACCAATAATACAACCAGCACCTCATCGCCGACAAATAGTTCGACTTCGTTCGTTTATAAATGCCTGATAAAGACGGTGCGCTTTATGTGGCAAGTTACGGCATTACCGACAAAAATCGGTGAAACAATAGGTACTTTATACCGTTATGCACAGACCTCAGTCGATACTATATTGTGTGTAGCTGGGTAAGAATTCAAAACCAAAACACAACAATTTCATAAATTCTAAAGAAAAAACAAACTAATTGTAATACATATAGACACACATAAATATTTGTTTATGTAAAACATCCTAAACCGTTTCGGAACTTTGTCTATTGTCTTTAGTCGGTACTTGAGAAACACATATAGTTAGTTAGTCCACGCTATTTCAGAATCCACCCTATTATGAATTATAAGATGTAGTTACCTAGATTTACTTTATATTTCAATTGGCACTAATTTTGACTTCATGTTTCTCTCTTTTTGTGTATTATTACAGAAAAGCTCGTCGCAAAGAACGAGATGGCGATCAAAATTCAACAGATACCAAACTATATTTGGAGGAGAGTGTTTTAGAACGTAAATTACCTGAAGCTGATCTCAAAGCTCTAGTTGATCTACCAGCTGGCTTAGATTATAATGAATGGCTTGCATCACATAGTAAGTAAATGATGATTTATTTTGTGTATAGACTTGGGGAAGATTAGAAGGGAAAATTGAAATAAATCTAATATGGACACACGGAAAACCTCGTAACACGGAAAAAATCGTATGCTCCCCATGTAACTGTACCTCCCTATATTCGGTATTTTCAGACTTTAGCCACATTTTTCAATGAAATTTTCTAAAATTCTACCCAAGGAATTCTTTGTGGGTACTTTACCGCCTGTAAGAGAATTGTCTATATAGGTTCACGATATCGTATGGCCCCCATATAACGGTACCGCCCGATATTCGATATTTTGATAATTTTAGGAACATTATTCAATGGAATTGTCTGAAATTCTACACATGAAGTTCTTTGTGGTTTTGATGATTGTAGCCATATTTTTCAATAGAATTGTCTTAAAATCCACATTAGGAGTTCCTTCTGTGAATTTTACCCTCTGGAAGAAAATTGTCTATATAGGTCCACGATATCGTATAGTCCCTATATAACGGCACGCCCGATATTCGGTATTTTATGATTTTAGCGACATCTTTGACCGGAATTGTTTCCAATTTCGTATTTAAAATTTGAAGCTCGTAATGAGTTACTACAACCTAGGCCAGAAAATTGTCTATGCAGGCCCAAATCTTCGTATAGCCCACATATAACGGTACCTCCCTTTATCCTGTATTATGATGATATTAGCAACATTATTCACCGGAATTTTTTTTCGACGGTTTTTTTTTTTTTTTTTTTTGAAATTATTCCAGATCCTTCAAAATGGTAGAAGGTATAAAAAGTTCGGCCCGTCCGAACTTAGCTTCTTTTTTACTTATTATTTCTTAAAACAAGGAATTTATGCCGAGGGGTTTGACCACAGCCAAAAATGTGCGATGTTCTACCTAAAGTGTAAACTACAGTGATCGTCCTAGGCATGCTAACCACAATTTACCATTAGAAATAAGTCTGAAACATTCTTGTTTGCTAACAATTCGGTCAAAATTGTGGTGAAACTCATTAAAATTTCAAATGTCAGTTATTTCAGAATATTAGGTGTCAATTAAAAATTCCATTGAAAAATCTGACTAAAATTCTCAAAATACTGAAAACATGAAACCAAAAATACCATTCTCAGCCAGATTTGCACCTTTTGCCACCAAAACGGTGGCTAAAATTATCAAAATACTGAATACGGAGGTCTGTATACAATAGCAATGACAATGTTCTGCTACGAACTCTAAGTACTGAATTAACAAACAACCTCTTTTAGAAAAAGTACCCAATATCGGACTGAAATACCCAATGTAAGGTGGTACCGAACTTAAACTTTCTGCAGATAACATTTTAGTTCCTTATTACAAATCGTTTGGAAGCTAACGTGATGGAAGGTATGAAAAAATCCAATGGACGACATATAACTTTCTCGTCTGTTTCGACCCATACGGAATAAATTTTCAGCGTTGCAACCATTCTTTCTTTGAACAAAGAGAGCAATGAAATACTGAAATTTTAAAAGCATTTGTGTTTTCTCTATATGTAAGTTAGGTTCGAAGATAGACTTGTTTTTTTCGAACTCATGTTAGGTTACCATCCAATTTCGTCAAAATATTCTATAAATCGTCATATTTAGCTTCCAAAACGAACGAAACTTTAATACATATTTGCCAGTATAGGTCCACTCTGACGACATTTGTTATTCTTTTTTGTCAAAAATTTCACCTGTTGCTCCTCAAACGTTTCAATAGTTTTAAATATTATAACAAAACTTATTTTTTTAATTATCAGGTATTATTTTTTTGCAATCTTTCAAAGTGGACAAGTTCATCTTATAACAATCCGTTAAGAAAGGAACCTAACATCGAAACTCCGATACAATATGATCTCAATATAAGCTGACATTCTGCAGAAGATGACAACTAATTTACAATTTGTTTACAAACAAACAGATTTTAGCGAATATAACCAACAATTTTTTCAATTAAATGTAGTTATTTGATGTAGATTGTGAAAGGTTTTAAGAGGAAATTAAAAAGGCTTAAGGTTTGCTATTACTTTCATAATTTTTCATTTTATGTCTCATTGATTTTTTTTATATTTGTATACCCCTCACCTTGAAAAGGAGGTGTCATTCCTTTGTTTTGACACCTCGTAGACCCCATAAAGTATATATATTCATAATCAGCATAAAATCTAAGTCGATTTAACGACGTCTGTCTGTTGAAATCACGATACATACAGCCCACATTTTTTTGACGTAGAGCTTAAAAATTTGATAGAACAATTTGTATTGTGTCAAGGATGGTTGGTATTGAAATTGAGATATATCGGTCCACGTTTTGGTATAGCCGCCATGCCACATTTATGCCACATTTTTCCACGGATTTGTCTAAAAATTGGAATTTGAATGGGCTCCGGTAGCGCAACATTGTATGTATAGGTGCACGTTTTTGTATAGCCCCCATATAACGGTGGCTCTTGATATTCGGTATTTTGATGATTTTTGCCACAAATTTCCGCGGATTTGTCCAAAAATTGGTATTTGTAGTTCGCAATGGGTTCTAGATCCGGTGGTAGAACATAATATATATAGGTCCACGTTTTCGTATAGACCCCACAAAATGGTACCTCAGTATTTTGATAATTTCCTCCACATTTTCATACGGATTTACCTAAAAATTGGCATTTTCAGTTCATAATGGATTCTAGCTCTGGTGGCAGAACATTGAATATTTAGGTCTACGTTTTCCTGTAGCGCACATATATCGATACCCACCGATATTCGGTATTTTTATAATCTTAGTCACATTTACCCACGAAATTGTTTCAAATTTGGTATTTAAGAAGAATTGGTAGATGCCAATCCTTGAAGTATAAAATTGTCTATAGAGATTCCCTTTTTAGTATGGCCCCCATATAACGGCCTCAGCCACTTTATGGTTTTTTGAAAAGTTTAACAGCATTATCCAAACGGTCTTGCTGGCATTTGTAGTTTAAAGTGGAACACGTTTGAATTCAGATACTTGTTTTTATATATATATTTTTTACTCAAAGTGGAGGTTATTAAAAATTCGACCCGGCCGAACTTAATGTTTTTTTTTTACTTGTTTACTTAATCTACACTTTTATGAAATAAGTATTATATTCTAATATTGCAAAAACACTTCCTATTTTTCTTTTTCTATTAAGGTTGTTATTCCCCTCATACCTCTATGTGAATCTACTTGAAAAATACTCCGCATTAAAATTGTCTGTCTAAAGAGGCCTTATGACGAATCTGCTGAAATTCTCTGTTAAAAATCAAATCCCGTTTTATAAAATAATCATAAAATATCAAAAATTGTTCATCAGCGCTTCTTTGCTCTCAATTTAAATACTTTAAAAATTGTCTAACCCTGTTATTTCTTTTACCGATTTACAGGGGAATTTTAGTTTAAAATACTTATGAGACATGTAGTTAAAATTACACCTATTTCGGAGATAGTTACAATCGTGAAACTCATAATGTGAGGCATCATTGAAATTCGACGATAACTATCCTTCCAACATTATTTTCGAAACCGATTTCAACACGTGCATCGATATAATATTAGATGATCATACCATGAAACCCCTATACATTATCTTCAACCCCTTGTCCCATTCAGGTTTGCTGATATAATATTATTTCAGTACACATAACCTCTAATAATCCCCAACGGACGACAAAGTCCCACATCATGCCATTTTAATGTGTTTTTAATCATGTAAATTACGTATAAATTATCTTGAAATATTTGCGTGTTTAAACATGTCTGTTTGTTTTACACTCACAGTTTTTTTTGATAAATTAATTTAAATTCGCGTTTTTCTACATTTATATGTGTATATATATTTAATAAAGATTAACAGTCAGATTATGACGGAATCATTGCAACCTACATATACATTTTCACTATAGTGTTCCTCTCCCAAATAGAAAGTGTTTGCGATAGTGACACATGGCCTAAATGCTAATATATTCGTACCTTATGGTAATATATCATGGCTTGTGAGATGTTTTGATTTTCTTTTTTAATATTAAGGTGGGTGGGAAGTTTTTACAATTTTGAAACTTCTCTTTTTTCTCGGTGGAAAAATTCTTGTATTCATATAAAATAGTTTAATTGAAAAATACAATATCATGTAGCAAATATATGATTTTTCTTAAAACTTCCCATTTCCTATATTTTATTTTAAATGCAAACCAAATTATTGGTCGTTGGAATTGTTTTAAAAATTCCATATTAAATACATTGATTTTGTTAATGTCTTTTAAGATTACATCACTTCTGCGACGAAATTGGCCTAAAGCTATAATCTTTTATAAGCCCAGCACTCTTTATTGCCACAGCCAAAACAAAACAGAAAGAAACAATATTAGCGTTAAGTTATTCTTTTCTTTTCTTTTTTCTCTCGCCAAACTGTCAATAATATGTATATACCAACAATTGCACTATCATCAATACCATCCACCTCACCCAATGTCGATATTAATTTGTTTTTTATTTGTTTATTTTCACTTTCTTCTTTGCAAATAACCCAAAAAAAATAAGAAAGAATAGTCAATGAAAAATAGCCGTTAAAAAGAAGATTCGCCAAAGTTGTTTGTATCGAAATCGAATTAACATTTATGCAAATTATTGTGTTTTTGTTTCCGTATAATGGTTTTTGGGTATTAGTCATTCTTGTTTTGCGTCCATACCATCAGCTCTTCGTTTCTTCTCTCTTGTGGCCCATGATTTTTATTTCAGTCCAAAAAAAAGAAAGGAGATTTTTTACGCAGTTATTGTTGTTTAATGAAATTGATTAATTTAAATTGTTTAACCCATTTGTTGATGCAAGAGAGTCTTTTCGCCTGATTATTAGATTGTTGGGTAGTTGATTTTCTTTTGGGCATATAAAATTATCTGTTAGTGATCAATCATAGTTATGATTTAACAGTAAAAGTCTACGTCTGATTAATTGTGAAATTTCATTTGAACAAACGGGGTGTTACATTCTTCAATCCGGATATAAAACTAAATGTGGTTACGTTACGCTTCCATATCACGGACCTCATATGGAAGCGTAACGAATGTTTAAATATCTGTTTCTACTTTTCTCAAATTTAATTCCATATAACATCATCTTTACTTTTTAATTTTTATGAAATAACGCTAAATGAACTCGAAAACCTATTCTTATTTATTTTGTCGTCAAGATACATTTTTACAACAGCTTCTGATCTCGATCCTACACTGACCGACTTATGATACCCTACACCACTATGCATATTTAGTAGAGCTCCCGTAACAAAAGAATTTATTTGAAGTAGACCATACCACCTATCAACATTTGGCTTTAGAGCAGTTATAGCTTGGTTTCAAGCTATATGGCCCCCCCCCCATATATTAGGGGGGCCATATTCAATCGGAATCGATTTTTACTAAATTTGACGGAGGCATTTTAATCTATTATACCAAATAACATTGCTATAAAGTGCATGATATAATTTCGAGTATAATTGTATTAAATAAATATATATCGGAGCCGAGTTCCACAATTTGGCATTATTTGCACAATAAACCTGAAATCGGATTAAGGATATATATAGGAGCTATATCCAAATCTTAGCCGTTCTAGATAAAATTTGGCAAAGGTATTTCCGACCTCTATAAGTTATCTGGTACCAAAAAATCATTGTTTTCGAATGCATATTACGAATGTGAGGGACTTAAACACCAAATCCGATGAAATATATATATGGGAGCTATAGCTATGTCTGAACCGATTTACACCAAATTTGATGTACTTACTTCTAGACTGAATTCGGTTGGATGTGCCAAAATTCAGGTCATTTGGACTGATATTGGACTGATATTTGTGCACAATTTACCCGAAATCGGTTTAAGATATATATGGGAGCTATATCTAAATCTGAACCAATCTTGATACAATTTGGCAGAGGTATTCCTGGGCTGTATCTGATATCTGATACGAAATATCATTCTTGTGGGGGTGCATGTTACGAATGTGAGGGACTTAAACCCCCAAATCGGATGAAAAATATATATGTGAGCTATAACTATATCTGAATCGATTATCTTCAAATTTGATATACTTGCTTCCTGACTGAATTCGGTGGGATGTACCAAAATTCAAGTAATTTGGACTTATATTGGTCATTTGGTGCACAATTAAGCCGAAATTGGTTGAAGATATATGGGAGCTATATCTAAATCTGATCCGATTATCATCAATTTCAATATTGTTCGTCCTTGGGCCAAACTAATATTGTTTTGAAAATTTCATCTCAATCGGATAATAAATGCGACCTGCATTTTGTTCACAAAAATACATGGACAGACGGACTGACATGCATAAATCGATTCAGAAAGTGCATAATACCCTTACCAACAAAGACATAACACCCTTACCACTATGGTGATGTAGGGTATAAAAATTAATTCCACTCTGACTGCATCGTATAATGTAAACAGAATACAAACATAACAAAGATTATTTATTCCACTTGCGTAGCAAAGTCTACAAAAAATGGCTAATGGAACTGAAGTATTTACTATTTCAACCTCCCATTTCTATGTTTTTTTTTTTGTTTGATGTTAACTTGATTAATAAAAACCTCTACGATTTTTAAAAACACATTCTTTGTGTATTTTACATACTCTTAAATAAGTATTTTTTAAAATTAATTTCTACAATAAAATATTTCTTAATCAATTCTAATATATATCGAAACATGTTCCTATTTTAAACAATTGTTCTTTTGTCTTTTCAGCACTGGCTCTATTCGAGCATGTGAATTTGGTATATGGCACTATCAGTGAATTTTGTACCACATCGGGTTGTCCCGATATGACGGGACCGGGCAATAGGTAAGTTCAATGAGTTCAATAGTACCTACTGGGCCAACATTAATCTATTTATGTTTTCCCCCCATTTTAGAACGTACTTATGGTTTGACGAAAAAGGTAAAAAGACACGCGTAGCGGCTCCACAATATATCGATTATGTGATGACGTTTACACAAAAAACGGTTAGCGATGAATCGATATTTCCTACCAAATATGCCAACGAATTTCCCAGTTCGTTTGAATCGATTGCCCGTAAAATTTTACGCTTGCAATTTCATGTGATAGCACATCTCTATGCGGCCCATTTCAGAGAAATTGCGCTGCTGGGATTGCATACGCACCTTAATTTAACATTTGCCCATTTGACCGCCCTGCACAGGCGTTTCAATTTAATCGATGAAAAGGAGACGGACGTATTGCGTGATCTAGAAGTGGCTTTAAGATTGACCGATGACACAACCAGTAGCGCTGGTGGTGGCGATGGTTCGTCGCAGAGTGAGTCGGGCGGCTCAATTATGTCGTCATCGACCGCTGCAGGTGATAGTGGGAAGCAGTGTGGGGAAGATGTCAATTCAGTGCAACACAATAATATAGCAACGTCAGCATCGCTGATAGATGGTGGCGGTCCGATTTGCACCCAGCCAGAGGCTGGAACAAAGTCACAACAGTTTGGTGTGGGCGGCGGTGGAGGCCTTATTGGCGGTATTTTAGGTGATTTAAGCAGTGGTGAATTTGGTGATACTATGCATTATTGTACTTCGGCAGTTCCTGCTTCCTCCACTAACTGTTCGGTAACAAATCCCCTGCAGAATACGACACCTTCCTCCTGCAATTCCATGAATGGCACCTGCAGTGCGGCAGACGGTGGCGGCGGCGGCGGAGGAGTTACGGCAAATGGTAATAATGGCGCGGGCGCTTTTCACCAACACAACAATAACAACCATGTAACACAACACCATCACCATCATCATCCACATCATCATCATGCGGTGCACCATCACCATCATCATCCGAATCATTTTGCGCAAAATACAGGCCTCATACAGTGCAATGCTAGTAATGCTCCTACAGCAACGGCTGCAACTACGTCAACAACAACAGCATAGCTGCTCTAGATTAATCCTCAACAACAACAAACAACAACCTTTTCCTACAACTGCAACAACAACTATAATTATAATAATAATAACAACAACAACAAATGTACTATCCTTACCCTAAGTTTTCTGTTTTGAAATTAACACAACAACAACAAAGTAAATAAAATTTAATTTAGTTTTAAACGAATAATGAAAAGTTGAAAAATTCAAATAAAAACAAATTAATGTTAATATATTTAAAAAGTAAAACAAAACAACAAATACAATGTTTTATTAGTTCGTAATGCAACAAAACAAAAACCACAACAACAAAGTAAATAAGTTTTTTCTTTATTATTTTTATTTTTAATTTAAAAATTTTATTTTTTATTTCCAACAAAACCAAACCACAAGAAAATACTTTCTTGGCAAAAAAAAAAAAAACATCCACTGTAAAAAAAAGGAAAACATAACACAAAAGAAGTTAATCGTTTTAATAAATTTGAAATCACTTTTAAAGCTCTCAATAACTGTTCGTGTCCATGTATTCCATAATCAATCTAGGGTATTATGAATGTAGAACTTGCAAATAAACTTCCAACCCAATCTAGTTAATATTGTATATAGACCAAGGCACAAGACGTTTGTCTATATTTTTCTCAAAATGGACTTAGTGGTTCAAATCCCAAGTCCTTGAGTTTTAGGAAAAACTGTTCAAATATTGACATTTTTTAAGCAAATTTGCCAACGCCCCATTCGTTAATGTTAAAAAATATCAAATTGACTTTATGTCGTAGATATCTGTCTCTGAAAAATTGCTTTAGAAAAATCTTTTGTCTGCACTTTTAGGTCCGTTCTCTTCTCTGTTATACGATATAGCCTTTTCGTTACTAATAAATTATACAATCTTTTAAGGGAACAGTGATTTGAAAATTTTACAGATCGGTCCATTAGTACTTACTAGAGTGTCGTCAGAGTAGCAACATACCTAAAACAGAATTATTTGGACTAACAGCCTGTTTTTGTAAAAAAGATTGCTTTCACTCGAACCGTTCATATTCAAAGGTATTCATTTTAATTTGGGGTTTTATATAAATGTTGAAAGCTCACATCCATTGCCGAAAAGCTTTGATATGTCATTGTTTTCGTAAGCATTATTTTGTTAAGTTTTTTATTTAATTTCACTATGAGTTGTGCTGCTTGTGGCATCCCCAAATTAAAAAAACCTATCAAAAAATTGTAAAGAAGTAAAAAAAAATAAAAACAATTGACTTTTATGGACCTGTTTCTGTTCAAAACGATAGGTCTATGCAGCCTAAAAAATTGCTTTTACTCGAATCATTCATGTTCAAACGTATTCGTCTTAATTTGGCTTTTTATAAATATTTTGGAATCTCTCGTCCCTTCTCGAAAAGCTTTGATATGTCAGTGTTTCTATAACTATTATTTATTTTTTGTATTTCATTTCATTAGGAGTTGTGCTGGTTGTGGCAAACCCCAATGAATTTAAAATTTATCAAAAAATTGTAAAATAAAATCGAAAAATCTCAAAAAAAAAAAAACATTTAAAGAATACGATCCTGCAAAATCCGCTAACAAAAAGTTGATGTGTAAAAATAGTTCATGTATATATTCCCCGTCATACACATACAATTTTGGCGAGATTCTATAACAAACAGCCAATTTCTGTTCAAAACTATGGGTATCCTTCTATGGTTTTTTCTGACATTTTCGTTTCTATCTTTTTCGTTACAAAAAAAAAAAAAAAAAAAAAAAAAAAAAAATACTGGGGAAAAAGGCTTTATTGTGTTTGTTTGTCACTCACAGAAAAAACATGCACCACAAAATCCCAAAATTTATTTTCTTTCGATTAAATTCCAAAGAAAGGAAAAAATAATGTAATGTTGTTTGAAAACTAGGCTTCAATTTATGCTGATATATATTTATATTTGTGAGAACTTCTGCTGTAGATTATTTTCTAAATCGGAGTATGAATGAATGAATTTAAAATTTATCAAAAAGTTGTAAAATAAAATTGAAAAATCTCAAAAAAAACATTTAAAGAATACGATCCTGCAAAATCCGCTAACAAAAAGTTGATGTGAAAAAATAGTTCATGTATAAATTCCCCGTCATACACATACAATTTTGGCGAGATTCTATAACAAACAGCCAATTTCTGTTCAAAACTATGGGTATCCTTCTATGGTTTTTTCTGACATTTTCGTTTCTATCTTTTTCCTTAACAAAAAAAAAATACTGGGGAAAAGGCTTTATTGTGTTTGTTTGTCACTCACAGAAAAAACATGCACCACAAAATCCAAAAATTTATTTTCTTTCGATAAAATTCCAAAGAAAGGAAAAAATAATGTTACAAAAACAGGCAGAAAGAAAATTTGGAAAAGTAAAAGAAAATTTATTTTTATTCAAAACTAAGTAACTTTGTTAAATTACCAAGTATTTGGCACAATTAAGTTTGAAAACTAGGCTTCAATTTATGCTGATATGTATTTATATTTGTCACGAGAATTCGAATTCACATTCGAACATTGCCATTTGGCAATGCATAATAATAACAATGGGAAATGGGAACAAAATGTATGGGAAATTATTTTCATAATGGGGGTGAATATGATCCAGAGTTTAGAAAAGTAAAATTTATATCACACTGTTTTCCTAAACGGATATGCTGGCTTTCAAATCGCAAACATTAGGCTCTATTCTCGGCCGACCATTAGGGCTGTATTATCATTTCTGTGTTGGAGTAGTTTGATTTTCCTTACAAAGAGAACATCTGACACTATGTAATGGAGATATATATGTAACCCAATTCTAAATGCTATCTTGTGGGGAATTTCTCACTTGCGCCAAATCAAAGAAGAAGAATATTTTTTAAATCCAGATATGAAACAATACGTCGTGGTTATTATTCATAATTTTATATTTAAAATGTCCTTGTTTCACATTATTCCTAGTTCTTAAGAATAGTGCATTGATCTTTATACATCGAATATGACATATGATTTAAGAAGTTAGAAGTGTTTTCTCCAAGCCTATATAAGGTAGGCCAAGAAGTCTATATTTGACAAAATTTTGCAATAAATTTATTAGTTTGTACACCATTGTGATTTGACTTTCTGGAACTTAAAATCAGAACTGGACATGGAAAGCTCTCAGAATGTACAACTACTCAAAGTTGACAAAGAATTGTCATTGTCCTTTAAAATTTGGGGCTGTTGTTTCTCTTCAAAAAATATGGTTGGCCTAAATAAAAAAGTTGTATAAAATAACTCTTCTTTAACAATTTCAGACGTACATGAAATTATCTAACTAAGCAAAGGCAAGTTCCCTTGTTACCAAGGTGATTCACATAATGTTAATGCAATTGAGAGAAGTTGTATATTATTCATACATAACTGTCTTACACAGATAAAAACAATAATATTTTTATTAATACAAACCAAGGTCTATTTAATAAGGTCATACAGCGGGTGAATTCAGACCCTAATCTTATTATCAACAAAGAAAAATATATTAAAATATTATATTTTCGTTAAAACAAAACCATTCGTTTTTTATTTTTATTTAAAAAAATGTGTTTTGGCAGCAAAAGAAAATGAAAATAATGTTGTTTCCTTTCATTATTAAAGATTAGTTTTTCGAAAATAACAAGAATATTTTGTTTGAATCTCTATATCGTAATACAAAGTGTATTATAACTTCAAACTATTTACTATTTACTTTTATTTTTCTGGACAATTCCAATATTTGGTCTGTTATGTGTAGATAGTCAAAAAAATATCCAAGTTTCTTACCAAAAAAATGTAGTCTTAAAAATCAAAGAATGACAGGTTGTCTCCAAAATTCGGTCTCGAAGCAAAATATTATTTGTAGTCTTTCTTCTATAATGTAAAACCAAGAGGTTCTTGTATCATTAATTCATTCATGGGAATATTTTTAATTATTCTGGCGTTGAAACACTATATAAATGTTGGTATTGCTAATGGGGTTTAAACTCTATATAAATGTATTGCTAATAACTTGTCTTGGGGAATATAATTATATTCACAATATAATTTTGTATTTCCCTATAGGTTTGAATGTACCCTAAGATTTTATTCAATTTTGGCATTTACAATTTCCTAGACTTGATAAATGGATGCATAAGGCACATGGTGATAAACTCTATTACATAATTAGACATAAAAACAACACAAACATAAAAATATCAACATTACACATAGATCTGAAACTATTTTCCTTTTTTCCTCTTTTATTCCAGAGAGAAATTCTTCTGTTTATGATGATGATGATGTAAAAGTTAGATGAAATATATGACGTGACCTGTTTATATAAAGGGTTTAAACAGGACACAGTGACACGCTTAAAATGCTTTATATTTATATAAATCTACACATTATATATATAAACGAAACATATGTATAACAAATAATGAATAATGTAACAAACACATTATAAGCTACAAACATCTATACACTAGTACTCTACCACATACATACATACATACATAAACACCTCTATATAATAATAACAAAATAAGAACACTTTATATAGTTTTTTAGATTTTAATTGTAAAAAGAAATGAAAGGATAATGGATTGAAAGGCAAAAAAGTTCTCTTATACAATTATAAAAGAACAAAACAATTATTTAAAAATCATACTTATTACAATACACACAAAAACCAAAATTCTTTTAACCCAACATGTTTGAAAGGAGAAACACAAAAAAGTAATAAAAATGTTGATGTAAAACAAAACAAAAAAAAAAATAGAAAAGAAAAAATGTTATTCAATTTCCCCTCTTCCCAAAGGTATGCAAGAAACAAATGATGAGCATAAACCCCACAAATAAACAAGAAATGACCCTGTTCTCCTATTGTAAAGTAAAATAATATTATTATGAACATTACAAAAAAGTAGTCTGATTATAGCCTAAAAAATGATTAATTATAATAAATTTAAAAATGCAAATAAAAAACAAACAAACAAATCACTAAATCCTTAAATTTAATGAAAAAACAAAGCTCCTCTTACAAAGCACTTTAACAAAGGATTAATGATGAAAGCATAATAAAAACACACTCTACCTTACAAAAAATAATTAAAACTACAATTTTTGATTTTATTTTTCAATTATTGGTTATTGTTTGGGTAAACAATGGTAAATTATATCAATTTTGAAAATCGGTGTATTATTAGGTCGAATCAAAGTTTTGCTTTAGCACAAGCGTAAAAAGAAAACATTTTACCATTTCATTTGTATGCAGTATCTGGCTGTTTGTTACAAGCTGTAATTTGTCAGTTATATTTATGGCCACATTTTTTATTATAAAATTATTCAATTAAACTGGATTAAAAGTAGGTCATATTAAATGGAAAATATAAATTAAAAAAAATTAAAATTGCTTCAGTCCTCCTCGTTAACGACTTACCGAGGTCCCTAAATAACGAACCTTTTATATTAGTCAGACTTCGTGATCTACAATAGTGTTTATGTAATTTTTTTTA